CTGTTCTCGAGGTTCTCGAGGTGGATATCCTTTGGCCGCGTTGGGTAGCGAGGATTGGTGTGACGCGATCCACGCAGGCGTGGTTTCTGACGGCCGACCGTCAGTGCACCAGGCCTCCAGGGCGTGCGCTGCGCCCGAATTTTTCTTTTCTTCTCCATCGGCGACCAGGCGTGTGCTTCGCGGAACTTTTCTTTTATTCTCCCTCGGGGTCACGCGGTTTTTCTCTTATTTCTCACGCCGGCAACAGAGCAGCGCACGCTCGGCCCCACCCGTGAACTGTCGCCATGACGCTCGTCGAGAAGATCAAGGACATCGAGAAGGAGATCGCGCGCACGCAGGTCAACAAGGCGACCATGTCGCACCTCTGCACCCTGCGCGCTAAGCTGGCCAAGTACCGGACAGAGCTGATAGCGCCTCCCAAGGCTGGCTCGAGTGAGGGGACGGGCTTCGACGTCGAGAAGGTGGGCGACGCGCGCGTCGCGCTGATCGGCTTCCCTTCCGTGGGCAAGTCCACCATCCTCTCGCACTTTACGGGGACGGCGTCCGAGGCGGCCGCGGCCGCCGAGATGCAGCCGCGAGGGTAGCCGACATGGAGCCGAGATGGGAATCGGCCGTAGGCGGCGGCGTACGAGTTCACCACACTCACGTGCATCCCGGGCATCATCCACCACAAGGACTGCCGCATCCAGCTGCTCGACCTACCCGGCATCATCGAGGGCGCGAGCGAGGGCAAGGGGCGGGGCCGGCAGGTGGTCGGCGAAATCACTCTGACACCACTGCGACACCTCGGCGACACCTCTGCGACACCTCTCTGCGACACCTCTGCGACACCTCTGCGACGCCTCGCCAGGTGATCGGCGTCGCTCGCTCGTGCGACCTCATCTTGCTTGTCGTTGATGCTGGCTCGGGCAAGGCAGACAGACACACACACCACACACACGACACTCCGCCCGCGTGGTGTGGAGGCGAGCACCGCACCTTGCCTCAAGGCGGGCCGGGCCGGCAGCGAGAGCCGCTCGAGAGGCGCGCGACTCGAGTGGAGTGATTGTGACGCAGGCGGAACTGTGACGCAGGCGGACCGGACCGGCAGCGAGAGCTGCTCGAGCACGAGCTGCGCGTACTAATTATTTATTTAATTAATTAGGCGGACCGGCAGCGAGAGCTGCTCGAGCACGAGCTGCGCGTGGTCGGGCTGCGGCTCAACGAGCGGCCTCCGAACGTCTACTTCAAGAAGAAGAGCTCCGGACCCGTCTCGATCTCGTCGACGTGCGCGCTCGAGAGCATCAGCGAGAGCGACGTGCGCCAGCTGCTGCACGAGTATAAAATCAACTCGGCGGAGGCGCCGCTCCGGCGATGCGAGTCCAGGAGTTGTTCAGCCCATCCGTCCACCGGGAGATGTCGCTGGCAGGTGCTCTTCCGCGAGGACTGCACGGTCGACCAGTTCATCGACCTGATCGAGGGGAACCGCAAGTACGTGCGCTGCCTGTACGTGTACAACAAGATCGACATGTCGTCGATCGAGGAGTGCCGCCGCATCATGGCCATCCTTGCCGACGCTGCTCCTCACCCTGCGCACACCTCTCCCTGCTCAGTCGCCGCTCTCTTTCCCCACAGGCCATGCCCGACACGATGGTCCTCTCCTGCCGCATGCGCCTCAACACCGACGTCTTTGCGGAGCGGCTGTGGGAGTGCGCGCGCCTAGATGCGGAGTATCTCCTCATATCTCCCCATATCTCCCCCATATCTCGAGGCCTAGATGCGGAGTTGGGCTGCTCGTACCCCTACCAGCACTCGAGAAGACTCACCATTCGGCTGTGCTTAGTGGCACCGCACCCGCACCACGCTGTCTCTGTCGCTCTCGTTCTCCCGCGAGGCGCACCAGAGTGCGATGCACTGGCCGGGCTCGCACCCTCACTCGGCCCGGACTCCACCACGCAGCTACCTCGGCCTGGTGCGCGTGTACACCAAGCCGCGCGGCAAGAAGCCCGACTTCGACGACCCGATCGTCCTCACCGAAGGGAGGCACGGCACCACCGTCGAGGCGGCCTGCAAGCACGTGCACCGCTCACTGGTCGCCACCTTCGACTACGCGATGGTGTGGGGCTCCTCGGTCAAGCACACGCCGCAGCGCGTGGGCCTGGCGCACCAGATGCACGACGAGGACGTGATCCAGGTCGTCAAGAAGCGCGGCAACGACCTCAAGCTCGACCCCTCCAACCAGCTCGCCGGCTGGAAGGACCCGACAAAAAGCAAGAATGCGATGCGAAAGGCAAAGGCCAAGCTAAAGACGTAAGCCGTCCCGACCGGTGGCGTTGAGACGAGATTGTCAGTGTACTGCCGCGACTGCTGGCTAATATACGCTCTTTGGGTACAAATACAGATTACAGTGCCGGGAACAGGTCATGGAACAGGCGCAGTCTCAGGTATGACATTATATAGAGGTATCACGACAAAAAGAACCGGCAAACCGCGAGCCCCCGAGCGCCGAGCCCGAGAGCGGCACAGTGCCACACAAAAAAGTCACAGACATAGCAAAATGCCGTCGTTATTGCGGCGCCCGAAGCAGCATCAGGGAGAAGACTGCCCCCGCAGCCGCCACGACTGCGCGCACCGCCTTCAAGATGCGCGATCGCACCCGCGCACGCGTCGCCGCGGCAAGCCCAAGCACCGCCAGCAGCGCGGCGGCCCAGCGCATGCGGCGTCGGTGCAGGGGAGCATGGTCGAGCCAGCCGCCGAGGTTGCACGCCTGGGCGAGGCCCTGCACCGCCAGCAGCGCCTGCCGCAGCGCCGCGTGCAGCGAGGCGTCGACTTGCGGCGCAGGCGACGCCGCCAGCAGCCGCTCGCTGCTGCGATGAGGAGGCTTTGCCGAGAGCCTCGTAGCTGGCACCCTCGCCGCCGCCTCTGCCTTCCCTCCCTCCACTGCCGCCACCGCCGCCGCCTGCTCCTTCACCGCCTCCGCCTCCGCCTCGTTCGCCCCCGCCTCCGCCTCTGCCGCCTCCGCCGCCTCCGCCGCCGCCGCCGCCTCCGCCGCTTCTTCCCACGGGACGGCGATCCCTCTCCCGGCGCCGCCCCGCACCGTGGCCCGCCGCCTCTCGATGCTCTGCAGCGCGTCTGCACTCTCCGGCGCGGTCAGCCGGGACCGCAGCGAGCGGACCAACCCTTCCTCCAGCGAGCCGCTTCCCGTGGCATCGGCGGCGAGGATGAGGTTCGCGAGGCGGAGCACCCGTCGCTCGTGCTCGAGCTGGCCGCCTGGCGCTCCGCCGCTCGGCTGCCGTCCTCGCCGCTCCTGCCCGTCTGCCCAGCCAAGCAGCCGCTCGCACGCTTCCTCGCGCTGGCCCGCCCGGCAAAACACCTGGAGCGCAGCCCAGAGCGTGCCAAATGGGACGGCCGCAACGTCGCCGTAGCATGCGTCGAGGAGCGTGCCGCTGAGACCAGGAGTGCCCGTGTCGCACAGGGCCTGCAGCGCCACGTTGACCAGCGGACCGCTCGGCTCAAGCGCCTCCTGGGGGAGCTTGGCCAGCCCACCCACCCAGGCTGCTTCCCCGTGTCCGCTTTTGGCGCTCGCATGCGGCCCCGCGCTGCCGTCGGGCGCGAGTGCACGCAGTGCTGCCACGGCAGCAGCGAGCGCCTCCCGAGGACGGCGCATCACGAGCAGGTCCTCTGCGTGCTCGACGGCGTCGAGAAACTCGTGCTCCATGGCGAGCGGAGTGGAAAGAAGAAAATCTTTGCCGGCCCGCTGGGTCCGCTTCTTAGCTCCCCGGCCCTGGATGTGAGGTTAATGACTGCACTCCAAGTGCTCCAAGGTCAAGGGGCAAGCGCGGCATCGCCATCGAGTTTCACCAAGAGTCGGACCAGGGGCTCAAGCTCGGCCGCCTGGACGACGTGGAGGTGGGCGGGAGGCTGACTGAGTTGGTCGTTGCCGCCCTCGATGCTGGTTTTCTGACGGAGCCAAGAGACGAGTTCACCTTTAAGGACGACCCGACGACCCATCGTGACTCCTTTGAGACGATCCCGGCGAGCCGTTTGGTCGTCGTCCAGTACGAGTACGTTACGAGTCCCTGCACCTACCACCCGCTCCTAACCGAGGTTATGCTGCCCCAAGGAGTGCTGTACACAAGCAGCAGCGCCGACACGGGCGGGGTGTACTCCGGAGACATGCGCCAACTTGGCAAGATCCTCTTGTCGCACGGGATCGACTTGGCCAACTACGGCATCTGGAGCTCAAGCGGCACGTCGGAGAGCCCCCACCCCTTCAGCTGCGCGCTGATTGCCGCTCACAACACCGTTGGGCAGTACGCGAACGGCAGGGTCGTTCACGGCCTTTCAGGCGCACACCACACCACCGAGCCCACCCCCTCGCCATCACCTGCCTCGCGTAAAGCTTCTCTCGCTCCCAGTAGGTGGAAATACGGGATGGGGCATCGAGGAGGCGACGGGCAACTTCTGCGGGCTGGCGCACTGGGCCGTGGAGGTGTGGCACGCGGCCGGGTCGGTCGACGCGAGCCGGTGGCAGGTCGAGGCTGACGGAAAGCGCCTCTTCTTTGTGCGGGTCGCGGAAAAGGCCGCATAATCGCGCTCTCCGCCGAGGCCCGCCTCGGCGACGGCGCTCGCCGCGCAGCAGCAGCAGCAGCAGCAGCAGCAGCAGCACGTGATTCTTGACACATGATTACACTACACAGTCCTCCTTTCGGTTGTCGTTTCGACCCTGTTTTTTTTTCTTCTATCGCAGCGCACTCGCATCTGTGAGCCTAGCGCAGCGCGAACTCGCCGTCTGGGCCTAGCGCAGCGCGAACTCGCCGTCTGAGCCTAGCGCAGCGCGAACTCGCTCTGAGCCTAGCGCAGCGCCTCGGAAAACACCATTTTGGCTCGCCAACAAGCCCTCCGGCTCCGCGCCCCCACACCGTTAGGATAATACTTTTCCTTTTTACCCATCTCCAGTAGAGTATGTATGTAGAAAGATGAACAACAGTCAGGCTCGGACTAGTAGAGAGTCGTTGCGGTTATTTATTTATTCTTCCTTAGGTGTGCCGGTGATAGTACTAGCACGCGCCAGTTCGCACCTGTGTCGAGCCTGTGTGCTGTGCGAGAGAGTGGTTTTGTTTAAATTCTTCCTTAGCAGTCGATAGTCGATAGCAGGCCCATTGGACATGGGATCGGAGTGGGACCCCCTGCTGGCAGACGACAACAGCTCGGGCAAAGTCGTACGCTGTGTCTACAGTCAGACGCTCAACTTAACTCGCGATCCGCCTGAGGGCATCTTTGCAATGATCGACGAGCACCGCGCCACGATTGTGCACGCGCTAATCTGCGGACCTCGAGACACAGTGTATGACGGCGGCTTCTTCTACTTCCTCCTGCGCTTTCCCAATGACTATCCATTCAGCCCGCCTAAAGTGTGATTTTAGATGTATAGCCCCACGAGCCGCCACCATGCCGAAACGCCGAGGTCGTGCCTCTGCCGTCAGGTACGGCTGATGACAACGGGCGGTGGCAGCGTGCATTTCAACCCCAACCTGTACAGCTGCGGCAAAGTGTGCCTCTCGATCCTTGGAACGTGGAGCGGCCCGGCGTGGACGCCTGTGCAGAACCTCACGTCCGTGCTTCTCTCGATCCAGAGCCTACTTTCCACCGATCCGTACTACAATGAGCCGGGCGTGCCACGAAACGTGGTCGCTTCGGAGCAGTACTCGGACTACGTGCGCCACGAGACAATGCGAGTGGCGGTGCTGGACATGGTGGGCGACACCTCTTTAGCTCGCTCGATGCCACCTAAGCTGCTCTCTGTCGCCCGCAGCCTCTTCATTGCCCACTTCCCCGTGTATCGGGACACCTGCGAGGAGCACGCCAAGCGCAACCCTGAGGGAGCCGCGTTTGCAGACCCGCTGGGCAAGACGACAGGAACCTTTTGTTGGCGTGGCTTGGGCAGCAGGCTCGCGGCGGTGGGCAGCAGGCTCGGCGCTGCGAACTTTGAGCCGGATGCCGAGCGCAGCGAGCGGGATGCGGAAGGCGAGGGGGGCGGGCAGGGCGGCTCGGGCTCGCCCTCGGGCGGCTCCGGCGGAGGTGTGGGTTGGACCATTCCTCCCCGATCTCCCCACGCGCCTCCCCCCTCCACACAAGATCCCACCAGGAGCTCCGTGGGGAGGTCGAGGAGGCGGGCGGGCGGCGGCGTGTCTGGCGAGGAAGCCGCGGCGGTGGCGGCGAGGCGGCGCGAGCGGCGTTGCGGAGCGGCGTTGTTGGACATATACATCGCGAAGAAAAGAATTTCCGCGGATGTTCTGGCCGACTGCAGCCACGGCACGCTAAAGGCTACACACTCGCACACCACTTGCAGAGTGGCTCTCCCAGGCGCTCACCCCACGGCAGAGGCACGCCAGCCCCGGGCAGCCGGCCGTCGCTCGCCTAAGCGCCTAAGCGCCCTAAGCGGGGGGTGCTTAGGGTGCTTAGGCGCTTAGGCAGCCCTTGCGAGCGTGGCGGCGTCGTAAATACAAGTGACTCCGATGACACTGACGATGCTCCTGCTAGTGTCATCGCTCAGAGAGAGCAGCCTGACGCACGTCGTGACTGTCTACCACTGGCCCTGGTCGCACACACTGCCACTGAGCTGCGCTGGTGCGGGAACTCAGCATCAGGTCGAGAGTCGAGGAAGGTCGCGGAAGGTCGAGTCGAGGAAGAGAACACGATCAGGGGCGGGTCCGGTAGACCGGTCCGCAGCGCCATATACGTGGCAAAGGACGCGAAAACTAAAGTGCCCACTGAAGCTTTTGCACCTTGACTTCAGGTTGAGCTGTGATGATGCCCACAGCACCAGCAGCAAAGGCGGGCGGGCCGACCCCGCGGCCATCGCCGCCGCCGTCGCCGCCGCCCCCTCCGCCGCCGCCCCCTCCGCCGCCGCCGCCACCTAAAGCTACATCACCCGCGCCGGCCCCGCCGTTGCACACCGGCTCTCGTGCTCATTCAACGGCGCCTCGAGCTGCAGGCCGGCGGCGCTGACGTTGTCGTGGTCGGGCTGCCCAACGTCGGCGCGGGAGGGAGGGGTCAACGCCGTTATGAAGAGCGCGAGAGCGAGCGCCAAGAGGGCCCAGATTCTGAGCAGCAGCCCGCC